TCCGATATCGGTCTCAACGCTTTGTTCAACATATACAATACATGATATAGCACAATCCCTAAATTGGCTTCGGCTTTCGCTTTGGCTTTGAACGGTAACAACCAAATTCTCGCACACCGATCCAATCCTATGTTCCATCACTTCTCTATTTATGGGCCTGAGTAAAACCAAGGCATTCCCTTATGAAAACAATCCACACAGATTGCTCATACAATGCAATAGAGCAGTAGCAGAGTAGATTTGTATAATATGATTCTCCATGCCGCTTGAACACGGAACTGACCATTGAAAATGATGGAAGCACTGTACAGCTGTTTGATCCGCTAAGTGAATCACGAGCACTGCACATGGATAGATCCCACACGGGGACACGAACCAAAGTTGGGGTGAACGAATGTCAGTCGAACACCCAAACCACAAGGCTATCCGATATGGGTCTCAACGCTTTGTTCAACAGATACACTACATCATAAAGCACAATCCCCAAATTGGCTTCGGCTTTCGCTTTAGCTTTGAACGGTAACAACCAAATTCTCGCACAGCGATGCAATGATTTATGCCATCACTTCTCTATTTATGGGCCTAAGTAAAACCAAGGCATTCCCTTATGAACAATCCACACAGATAGCTCATACAATGCAATAGAGCAGTAGCAGAGTAGATTTGTATAATATGATTCTCCATGCCGCTTGAACACGGAACTGACCATTGAAAATGATGGAAGCACTGTACAGCTGTTTGATCCGCTAAGTGAATCACGAGCACTGCACATGGATAGAGCCCACACGGGGACACGAACCAAAGTTGGGGTGAACGAATGTCAGTCGAACACCCAAACCACAAGGCTATCCGATATGGGTCTCAACGCTTTGTTCAACATATACAATACATGATTTAGCACAATCCCCAAATTTTCTTCGGCTTTCGCTTTCGCTTTGAACGGTAACAACCAAATTCTCGCACACCGATCCAATCCTATGTTCCATCACTTCTCTATTTATGGGCCTAAGTAAAACCAAGGCATTCCCTTATGAACAATCCACACAGACTGCTCATACAATGCAATAGAGCAGTCGCAGAGTATATTTGTATAATATGATTCTCCATGCAGCTTGAACACTGAACTGACCATTGAAAATGATGGAAGCACTGTACAGCTGTTTGATCCGCTAAGGGAATCATGAGCATTGCACATGGACAGAGCCCACACGGGGACACGAACAAGGGTTACGGTGAACGAATGTCAATCGAACACCCAAACCACAAGGCTATCCGATATGGGTCTGAACGCTTTGTTCAACATATACAATACATGATATAGCACAATCCCTAAATTGGCTTCGGCTTTCGCTTTGGCTTTGAACGGTAACAACCAAATTCTCGCACACCGATCCAATCCTATGTTCCATCACTTCTCTATTTATGGGCCTATGTAAAACCACGGCATTCCCTTATGAACAATCCAGACAGATTGCTCATACAATGCAATAGAGCAGTAGCAGAGTAGATTTGTATAATATGATTCTCCATGCAGCTTGAACACGGAACTGACCATTGAAAATGATGGAAGCACTGTACAGCTGTTTGATCCGCTAAGTGAATCACGAGCACTGCACATGGATAGAGCCCACACGGGGACACGAACCAAAGTTGGGGTGAACGAATGTCAGTCGAACACCCAAACCACAAGGCTATCCGATATCGGTCTCAACGCTTTGTTCAACATATACAATACATGATATAGCACAATCCCCAAATTTTCTTCGGCTTTCGCTTTGGCTTTGAACGGTAACAACCAAATTCTCGCACACCGATCCAATCCTATGTTCCATCACTTCTCTATTTATGGGCCTAAGTAAAACCACGGCATTCGCTTATGAACAATCCACACAGACTGCTCATACAATGCAATAGAGCAGTCGCAGAGTATATTTGTATAATATGATTCTCCATGCAGCTTGAACACTGAACTGACCATTGAAAATGATGGAAGCACTGTACAGCTGTTTGATCCGCTAAGAGAATCATGAGCATTGCACATGGACAGAGCCCACACGGGGACACGAACAAGGGTTGGGGTGAACGATTGTCAATCGAACACCCAAACCACAAGGCTATCCGATATGGGTCTCAACGCTTTGTTCAAAAGATACACTACATCATATAGCACAATCCCCAAATTGGCTTTGGCTTTCGCTTTAGCTTTGAAAGGTAACAACCAAATTCTCGCACACCGATCCAATCCTATGTGCCATCACTTCTCTATTTATGGGCCTAAGTAAAACCAAGGCATTCCCTTATGAACAATCCACACAGATAGCTCATACAATGCAATAGAGCAGTCGCAGAGTAGATTTGTATAATATGATTCTCCATGCAGCTTGAACACTGAACTGACCATTGAAAATGATGGAAGCACTGTACAGCTGTTTGATCCGCTAAGGGAATCATGAGCATTGCACATGGACAGAGCCCACACGGCGACACGAACAAGGGTTGGGGTGAACGAATGTCAGTCGAACACCCAAACCACAAGGCTATCCGATATGGGTCTGGACGCTTTGTTCAACAGATACACTACATCATATAGCACAATCCCCAAATGGGCTTCGGCTTTCGCTTTCGCTTTGAACGGTAACAACCAAATTCTCGCACACCGATCCAATCCTATGTTCCATCACTTCTCTATTTATGGGCCTATGTAAAACCAAGGCATTCCCTTATGAAAAATCCACACAGATTGCTCATACAATGCAATTGAGCATTAGCAGAGTAGATTTGTATAATATGATTCTCCATGCAGCTTGAACACTGAACTGACCATTGAAAATGATGGAAGCACTGTACAGCTGTTTGATCCGCTAAGGGAATCATGAGCATTGCACATGGACAGAGCCCACACGGGGCCACGAACAAGGGTTGGGGTGAACGAATGTCAATCGAACACCCAAACCACAAGGCTATCCGATATCGGTCTCAACGCTTTGTTCAACATATACAATACATGATATAGCACAATCCCCAAATTGGCTTCGGCTTTCGCTTTCGCTTTGAACGGTAACAACCAAATTCTCGCACACCGATCCAATCCTATGTTCCATCACTTCTCTATTTATGGGCCTATGTAAAACCAAGGCATTCCATTATGAACAATCCACACAGATTGCTCATACAATGCAATAGAGCAGTAGCAGAGTAGATTTGTATAATATGATTCTCCATGCCGCTTGAACACGGAACTGACCATTAAAAATGATGGAAGCACTGTACAGCTGTTTGATCCGCTAAGTGAATCACGAGCACTGAACATGGATAGAGCCCACACGGGGACACGAACAAGGGTTGGGGTGAACGAATGTCAGTCGAACACCCAAACCACAAGGCTATCCGATATCGGTCTCAACGCTTTGTTCAACAGATACACTACATCATATAGCACAATCCTCAAATTGGCTTCGGCTTTCGCTTTAGCTTTGAACGGTAACAACCAAATTCCCGCACACCGATCCAATGCTATGTGCCATCAATTCTCTATTTATGGGCCTAAGTAAAACCAAGGCATTCCCTTATGAACAATCCACACAGATTGCTCATACAATGCAATAGAGCAGTCGCAGAGTATATTTGTATAATATGATTCTCCATGCAGCTTGAACACTGAACTGACCATTGAAAATGATGGAAGCACTGTACAGCTGTTTGATCCGCTAATGGAATCATGAGCATTGCACATGGACAGAGCCCACACGGGGACACGAACAAGGGTTGGGGTGAACGATTGTCAATCGAACACCCAAACCACAAGGCTATCCGATATCGGTCTGAACGCTTTGTTCAACAGATACCCTTCATCATATAGCACAATCCCCAAATGGGCTTCGGCTTTCGCTTTCGCTTTGAACGGTAACAACCAAATTCTCGCACACCGATACAATCCTATGTTCCATCACTTCTCTATTTATGGGCCTATGTAAAACCAAGGCATTCCCTTATGAACAATCCACACAGACTGCTCATACAATGCAATAGAGCAGTCGCAGAGTATATTTGTATAATATGATTCTCCATGCAGCTTGAACACTGAACTGACCACTGAAAATGATGGAAGCACTGTACAGCTGTTTGATCCGCTAAGGGAATCATGAGCATTGCACATGGACAGAGCCCACACGGGGACACGAACAAGGGTTGGGGTGAACGATTGTCAGTCGAACACCCAAACCACAAGGCTATCCAATATGGGTCTCAACGCTTTGTTCAACATATACAATACATCATATAGCACAATCCCCAAATTGGCTTCGGCTTTCGCTTTCGCTTTGAACGGTAACAACCAAATTCTCGCACACCGATCCAATCCTATGTTCCATCACTTCTCTATTTATGGGCCTATGTAAAACCAAGGCATTCCCTTATGAACAATCCACACAGATTGCTCATACAATGCAATAGAGCAGTAGCAGATTCGATTTGTATAATATGATTCTCCATGCAGCTTGAACACTGAACTGACCATTGAAAATTATGGAAGCACTGTACAGCTGTTTGATCCGCTAAGGGAATCATGAGCATTGCACATGGACAGAGCCCACACGGGGACACGAACAAGGGTTGGGGTGAACGATTGCCAGTCGAACACCCAAACCACAAGGCTATCCGATATCGGTCCCAACGCTTTGTTCAACATATACAATACATGATATAGCACAATCCCTAAATTGGCTTCGGCTTTCGCTTTGGCTTTGAACGGTAACAACCAAATTCTCGCACACCGATACAATCCTATGTTCCATCACTTCTCTATTTATGGGCCTAAGTAAAACCAAGGCATTCCCTTATGAACAATCCACACAGACTGCTCATACAATGCAATAGAGCAGTCGCAGAGTATATTTGTATAATATGATTCTCCATGCAGCTTGAACACTGAACTGACCACTGAAAATGATGGAAGCACTGTACAGCTGTTTGATCCGCTAAGTGAATCACGAGCACTGCACATGGATAGAGCCCACACGGGGACACGAACCAAATTTGGGGTGAACGAATGTCAGTCGAACACCCAAACCACAAGGCTATCCGATATCGGTCTGAACGCTTTGTTCAACAGATACACTACATCATATGGCACAATCCCCAAATTGGCTTCGGCTTTCGCTTTCGCTTTGAACGGTAACAACCAAATTCTCGCACACCGATCCAATCCTATGTTCCATCACTTCTCTATTTATGGGCCTAAGTAAAACCAAGGCATTCCCTTATGAACAATCCACACACAGATTGCTCATACAATGCAATAGAGCAGTAGCAGAGTAGATTTGTATAATATGAATCTCCATGCAGCTTGAACACTGAACTGACCATTGAAAATGATGGAAGCACTGTACAGCTGTTTGATCCGCTAAGGGAATCATGAGCATTGCACATGGACAGAGCCCACACGGGGACACGAACAAGGGTTGGGGTGAACGAATGTCAGTGGAACACCCAAACCACAAGGCTATCCGATATGGGTCTCGACGCTTTGTTCAAAAGATACACTACATCATATGGCACAATCCCCAAATTGGCTTCGGCTTTCGCTTTGGCTTTGAACGGTAACAACCAAATTCTCGCACACCGATCCAATCCTATGTTCCATCACTTCTCTATTTATGGGCCTATGTAAAACCAAGGCATTCCCTTATGAACAATCCACACAGATTGCTCATACAATGCAATAGAGCAGTAGCAGATTCGATTTGTATAATATGATTCTCCATGCAGCTTGAACACTGAACTGACCATTGAAAATGATGGAAGCACTGTACAGCTGTTTGATCCGCAAAGGGAATCATGAGCATTGCACATGGACAGAGCCCACACGGGGACACGAACAAGGGTTGAGGTGAACGAATGTCAGTCGAATACCCAAACCACAAGGCTATCCGATATGGGTCTCGACGCTTTGTTCAACAGATACACTACATCATATAGCTCAATCCCCAAATTGGCTTCGGCTTTCGCTTTGGTTTTCAACGGAAACAACCGAATTCTCGCACACCGATCCAATCCTATGTTCCATCACTTCTCTATTTATGGGCCTAAGTAAAACCAAGGCATTCCCTTATGTACAATCCACACAGATTGCTCATACAATGTAATAGAGCAGTAGCAGAGTAGATTTGTATAATATGATTCTCCATGCAGCTTGAACACTGAACTGACCATTGAAAATGATGGAAGCACTGTACAGCGGTATGATCCGCTAAGGGAATCATGAGCATCGCACATGGACAGAGCCCTCACGGGGACACGAACAAGGGTTGGGGTGAACGATTGCCAGTCGAACACCCAAACCACAAGGCTATCCGATATCGGTCTCAACGCTTTGTTCAAAAGATACACTACATCATATGGCACAATCCCCAAATTGGCTTCGGCTTTCGCTTTGGCTTTGAACGGTAACAACCAAATTCTCGCACACCGATCCAATCCTATGTTCCATCACTTCTCTATTTATGGGCCTATGTAAAACCAAGGCATTCCCTTATGAACAATCCACACAGATTGCTCATACAATGCAATAGAGCAGTAGCAGATTCGATTTGTATAATATGATTCTCCATGCAGCTTGAACACTGAACTGACCATTGAAAATGATGGAAGCACTGTACAGCTGTTTGATCCGCAAAGGGAATCATGAGCATTGCACATGGACAGAGCCCACACGGGGACACGAACAAGGGTTGAGGTGAACGAATGTCAGTCGAATACCCAAACCACAAGGCTATCCGATATGGGTCTCGACGCTTTGTTCAACATATACAATACATGATATAGCACAATCCCTAAATTGGCTTCGGCTTTCGCTTTGGCTTTGAACGGTAACAACCAAATTCTCGCACACCGATCCAATCCTATGTTCCATCACTTCTCTATTTATGGGCCTAAGTAAAACCAAGGCATTCCCTTATGAACAATCCACACAGACTGCTCATACAATGCAATAGAGCAGTCGCAGAGTATATTTGTATAATATGATTCTCCATGCAGCTTGAACACTGAACTGACCACTGAAAATGATGGAAGCACTGTACAGCTGTTTGATCCGCTAAGTGAATCACGAGCACTGCACATGGATAGAGCCCACACGGGGACACGAACCAAAGTTGGGGTGAACGAATGTCAGTCGAACACCCAAACCACAAGGCTATCCGATATCGGTCTGAACGCTTTGTTCAACAGATACACTACATCATATGGCACAATCCCCAAATTGGCTTCGGCTTTCGCTTTCGCTTTGAACGGTAACAACCAAATTCTCGCACACCGATCCAATCCTATGTTCCATCACTTCTCTATTTATGGGCCTAAGTAAAACCAAGGCATTCCCTTATGAACAATCCACACACAGATTGCTCATACAATGCAATAGAGCAGTAGCAGAGTAGATTTGTATAATATGAATCTCCATGCAGCTTGAACACTGAACTGACCATTGAAAATGATGGAAGCACTGAACAGCTTTTTGATCCGCTAAGGGAATCATGAGCATTGCACATGGACAGAGCCCACACGGGGACACGAACAAGGGTTGGGGTGAACGAATGTCAGTGGAACACCCAAACCACAAGGCTATCTGATATGGGTCTCGACGCTTTGTTCAAAAGATACACTACATCATATGGCACAATCCCCAAATTGGCTTCGGCTTTCGCTTTGGCTTTGAACGGTAACAACCAAATTCTCGCACACCGATCCAATCCTATGTTCCATCACTTCTCTATTTATGGGCCTATGTAAAACCAAGGCATTCCCTTATGAACAATCCACACAGATTGCTCATACAATGCAATAGAGCAGTAGCAGATTCGATTTGTATAATATGATTCTCCATGCAGCTTGAACACTGAACTGACCATTGAAAATGATGGAAGCACTGTACAGCTGTTTGATCCGCAAAGGGAATCATGAGCATTGCACATGGACAGAGCCCTCACGGGGACACGAACAAGGGTTGGGGTGAACGATTGCCAGTCGAACACCCAAACCACAAGGCTATCCGATATCGGTCTCAACGCTTTGTTCAACATATACAATACATGATATAGCACAATCCCTAAATTGGCTTCGGCTTTCGCTTTCGCTTTGAACGGTAACAACCAAATTCTCGCACACCGATACAATCCTATGTTCCATCACTTCTCTATTTATGGGCCTAAGTAAAACCAAGGCATTCCCTTATGAACAATCCCCACACAGATTGCTCATACAATGCAATAGAGCAGTCGCAGAGTATATTTGTATAATATGATTCTCCATGCAGCTTGAACACTGAACTGACCACTGAAAATGATGGAAGCACTGTACAGCTGTTTGATCCGCTAAGTGAATCACGAGCACTGCACATGGATAGAGCCCACACGGGGACACGAACCAAAGTTGGGGTGAACGAATGTCAGTCGAACACCCAAACCACAAGGCTATCCGATATCGGTCTGAACGCTTTGTTCAACAGATACACTACATCATATGGCACAATCCCCAAATTGGCTTCGGCTTTCGCTTTCGCTTTGAACGGTAACAACCAAATTCTCGCACACCGATCCAATCCTATGTTCCATCACTTCTCTATTTATGGGCCTAAGTAAAACCAAGGCATTCCCTTATGAACAATCCACACACAGATTGCTCATACAATGCAATAGAGCAGTAGCAGAGTAGATTTGTATAATATGAATCTCCATGCAGCTTGAACACTGAACTGACCATTGAAAATGATGGAAGCACTGAACAGCTTTTTGATCCGCTAAGGAAATCATGAGCATTGCACATGGACGGAGCCCACACGGGGACACGAACAAGGGTTGGGGTGAACGAATGTCAGTGGAACACCCAAACCACAAGGCTATCCGATATGGGTCTCGACGCTTTGTTCAAAAGATACACTACATCATATGGCACAATCCCCAAATTGGCTTCGGCTTTCGCTTTGGCTTTGAACGGTAACAACCAAATTCTCGCACACCGATCCAATCCTATGTTCCATCACTTCTCTATTTATGGGCCTATGTAAAACCAAGGCATTCCCTTATGAACAATCCACACAGATTGCTCATACAATGCAATAGAGCAGTAGCAGATTCGATTTGTATAATATGATTCTCCATGCAGCTTGAACACTGAACTGACCATTGAAAATGATGGAAGCACTGTACAGCTGTTTGATCCGCTAAGGGAATCATGAGCATTGCACATGGACAGAGCCCACACGGGGACACGAACAAGGGTTGAGGTGAACGAATGTCAGTCGAATACCCAAACCACAAGGCTATCCGATATGGGTCTCGACGCTTTGTTCAACAGATACACTACATCATATAGCTCAATCCCCAAATTGGCTTCGGCTTTCGCTTTGGTTTTCAACGGAAACAACCGAATTCTCGCACACCGATCCAATCCTATGTTCCATCACTTCTCCATTTATGGGCCTAAGTAAAACCAAGGCATTCCCTTATGTACAATCCACACAGATTGCTCATACAATGTAATAGAGCAGTAGCAGAGTAGATTTGTATAATATGATTCTCCATGCAGCTTGAACACTGAACTGACCATTGAAAATGATGGAAGCACTGTACAGCGGTATGATCCGCTAAGGGAATCATGAGCATCGCACATGGACAGAGCCCTCACGGGGACACGAACAAGGGTTGGGGTGAACGGATGTCAGTCGAACACCCAAACCACAAGGATATCCGATATTGGTGTGAACGCTTTGTTCAACAGAAACACTAAATTATATAGCTAAATCCCCAAATTGGCTTCGGCTTTCGCTTTCGCTTTGAACGGTAACAACCAAATTCTCGCACACCGATCCAATCGTATGTTCCATCACTTCTCTATTTATGGCCTAAGTAAAACCAAGGCATTCCCTTATGAACAATCCCCACACAGATTGCTCATACAATGCAATAGATCAGTAGCAGAGTAGATTTGTATAATATGATTCTCCATGCAGCTTGAACACTGAACTGACCATTGAAAATTATGGAAGCACTGTACAGCTATTTGATCCGCTAAGGGAATCATGTGCATTGCATATGGACGGAGCCCACACGGGGACACGAACAAGGTTTGGGGTGTACGACTGTCAATCGCACACCCAAACCACAAGGCTATCCGATATTTGTGTGAACGCTTCGTTCAACATATACAATACATGATATAGCACAATCCCCAAATTGGCTTCGGCTTTCGCTTTGACTTTGAACGGTAACAACCAAATTCTCGCACACCGATCCAATCCTATGTTCCATCACTTCTCTATTTATGGGCCTAAGTAAAACCAAGGCATTCCCTTATGTACAATCCACACAGATTGCTCATACAATGTAATAGAGCAGTAGCAGAGTAGATTTGTATAATATGATTCTCCATGCAGCTTGAACACTGAACTGACCATTGAAAATGATGGAAGCACTGTACAGCGGTATGATCCGCTAAGGGAATCATGAGCATCGCACATGGACAGAGCCCTCACGGGGACACGAACAAGGGTTGGGGTGAACGGATGTCAGTCGAACACCCAAACCACAAGGATATCCGATATTGGTGTGAACGCTTTGTTCAACAGAAACACTAAATTATATAGCTAAATCCCCAAATTGGCTTCGGCTTTCGCTTTCGCTTTGAACGGTAACAACCAAATTCTCGCACACCGATCCAATCGTATGTTCCATCACTTCTCTATTTATGGCCTAAGTAAAACCAAGGCATTCCCTTATGAACAATCCCCACACAGATTGCTCATACAATGCAATAGATCAGTAGCAGAGTAGATTTGTATAATATGATTCTCCATGCAGCTTGAACACTGAACTGACCATTGAAAATGATGGAAGCACTGTACAGCGGTATGATCCGCTAAGGGAATCATGAGCATTGCACATGGACAGAGCCCACACGGGGACACGAACAAGGGTTGGGGTGAACGAATGTCAGTGGAACACCCAAACCACAAGGCTATCCGATATGGGTCTCGACGCTTTGTTCAAAAGATACACTACATCATATGGCACAATCCCCAAATTGGCTTCGGCTTTCGCTTTGGCTTTGAACGGTAACAACCAAATTCTCGCACACCGATCCAATCCTATGTTCCATCACTTCTCTATTTATGGGCCTATGTAAAACCAAGGCATTCCCTTATGAACAATCCACACAGATTGCTCATACAATGCAATAGAGCAGTAGCAGATTCGATTTGTATAATATGATTCTCCATGCAGCTTGAACACTGAACTGACCATTGAAAATGATGGAAGCACTGTACAGCGGTATGATCCGCTAAGGGAATCATGAGCATTGCACATGGACAGAGCCCACACGGGGACACGAACAAGGGTTGGGGTGAACGAATGTCAGTGGAACACCCAAACCACAAGGCTATCCGATATGGGTCTCGACGCTTTGTTCAAAAGATACACTACATCATATGGCACAATCCCCAAATTGGCTTCGGCTTTCGCTTTGGCTTTGAACGGTAACAACCAAATTCTCGCACACCGATCCAATCCTATGTTCCATCACTTCTCTATTTATGGGCCTATGTAAAACCAAGGCATTCCCTTATGAACAATCCACACAGATTGCTCATACAATGCAATAGAGCAGTAGCAGATTCGATTTGTATAATATGATTCTCCATGCAGCTTGAACACTGAACTGACCATTGAAAATGATGGAATCACTGTACATCTGTTTGATCCGCTAAGGGAATCATGAGCATTGCACATGGACAGAGCCCTCACGGGGACACGAACAAGGGTTGGGGTGAACGATTGCCAGTCGAACACCCAAACCACAAGGCTATCCGATATCGGTCTCAACGCTTTGTTCAACATATACAATACATGATATAGCACAATCCCTAAATTGGCTTCGGCTTTCGCTTTCGCTTTGAACGGTAACAACCAAATTCTCGCACACCGATACAATCCTATGTTCCATCACTTCTCTATTTATGGGCCTAAGTAAAACCAAGGCATTCCCTTATGAACAATCCACACACAGATTGCTCATACAATGCAATAGAGCAGTCGCAGAGTAGATTTGTATAATATGATTCTCCATGCAGCTTGAACACTGAACTGACCACTGAAAATGATGGAAGCACTGTACAGCTGTTTGATCCGCTAAGTGAATCACGAGCACTGCACATGGATAGAGCCCACACGGGGACACGAACCAAAGTTGGGGTGAACGAATGTCAGTCGAACACCCAAACCACAAGGCTATCCGATATCGGTCTGAACGCTTTGTTCAACAGATACACTACATCATATGGCACAATCCCCAAATTGGCTTCGGCTTTCGCTTTCGCTTTGAACGGTAACAACCAAATTCTCGCACACCGATCCAATCCTATGTTCCATCACTTCTCTATTTATGGGCCTAAGTAAAACCAAGGCATTCCCTTATGTACAATCCACACAGATTGCTCATACAATGCAATAGAGCAGTAGCAGAGTAGATTTGTATAATATGAATCTCCATGCAGCTTGAACACTGAACTGACCATTGAAAATGATGGAAGCACTGAACAGCTTTTTGATCCGCTAAGGAAATCATGAGCATTGCACATGGACAGAGCCCACACGGGGACACGAACAAGGGTTGGGGTGAACGAATGTCAGTGGAACACCCAAACCACAAGGCTATCCGATATGGGTCTCGACGCTTTGTTCAAAAGATACACTACATCATATGGCACAATCCCCAAATTGGCTTCGGCTTTCGCTTTCGCTTTGAACGGTAACAACCAAATTCTCGCACACCGATCCAATCCTATGTTCCATCACTTCTCTATTTATGGGCCTATGTAAAACCAAGGCATTCCCTTATGAACAATCCACACAGATTGCTCATACAATGCAATAGAGCAGTAGCAGAGTAGATTTGTATAATATGATTCTCCATGCAGCTTGAACACTGAACTGACCATTGAAAATGATGGAAGCACTGTACAGCTGTTTGATCCGCTAAGGGAATCATGAGCATTGCACATGGACAGAGCCCACACGGGGACACGAACAAGGGTTGAGGTGAACGAATGTCAGTCGAATACCCAAACCACAAGGCTATCCGATATGGGTCTCGACGCTTTGTTCAACAGATACACTACATCATATAGCTCAATCCCCAAATTGGCTTCGGCTTTCGCTTTGGTTTTCAACGGAAACAACCGAATTCTCGCACACCGATCCAATCCTATGTTCCATCACTTCTCTATTTATGGGCCTAAGTAAAACCAAGGCATTCCCTTATGTACAATCCACACAGATTGCTCATACAATGTAATAGAGCAGTAGCAGAGTAGATTTGTATAATATGATTCTCCATGCAGCTTGAACACTGAACTGACCATTGAAAATGATGGAAGCACTGTACAGCGGTATGATCCGCTAAGGGAATCATGAGCATCGCACATGGACAGAGCCCTCACGGGGACACGAACAAGGGTTGGGGTGAACGGATGTCAGTCGAACACCCAAACCACAAGGATATCCGATATTGGTGTGAACGCTTTGTTCAACAGAAACACTAAATTATATAGCTAAATCCCCAAATTGGCTTCGGCTTTCGCTTTCGCTTTGAACGGTAACAACCAAATTCTCGCACACCGATCCAATCGTATGTTCCATCACTTCTCTATTTATGGCCTAAATAAAACCAAGGCATTCCCTTATGAACAATCCCCACACAGATTGCTCATACAATGCAATAGATCAGTAGCAGAGTAGATTTGTATAATATGATTCTCCATGCAGCTTGAACACTGAACTGACCATTGAAAATTATGGAAGCACTGTACAGCTATTTGATCCGCTAAGGGAATCATGTGCATTGCATATGGACGGAGCCCACACGGGGACACGAACAAGGTTTGGGGTGTACGACTGTCAATCGCACACCCAAACCACAAGGCTATACGATATTTGTGTGAACGCTTCGTTCAACATATACAATACATGATATAGCACAATCCCCAAATTGGCTTCGGCTTTCGCTTTGGTTTTCAACGGAAACAACCGAATTCTCGCACACCGATCCAATGCTATGTTCCATCACTTCTCTATTTATGGGCCTAAGTAAAACCAAGGCATTCCCTCATGAACAATCCACACAGATTGCTCATACAATGCAATAGAGCAGTAGCAGAGTAGATTTGTATAATATGATTCTCCATGCAGCTTGAATACTGAACAGACCATTGAAAATGATGGAAGCACTGTACAGCTGTTTGATCCGCTAAGGGAATCATGTGCATTGCACATGGACAGAGCCCACACGGGGACACGAACAAGGTTTGGGGTGAACGATTGTCAGTCGAACACCCAAACCACAAGGCTATCCAATATGGGTCTCAACGCTTTGTTCAACAGATACAATACATGATATAGCACAATCCCCGAATTGACTTCGGCTTTCGCTTTCGCTTTGAACGGTAACAACCAAATTCTCGCACACCGATGCAATCCTATGTTCCATCACTTCTCTATTTATGGGCCTAAGTAAAACCAAGGCATTCCCTCATGAACAATCCACACAGATTGCTCATACAATGCAATAGAGCAGTAGCAGAGTAGATTTGTATAATATGATTCTCCATGCAGCTTGAATACTGAACAGACCATTGAAAATGATGGAAGCACTGTACAGCTGTTTGATCCGCTAAGGGAATCATGTGCATTGCACATGGACAGAGCCCACACGGGGACACGAACAAGGGTTGGGGTGAACGATTGCCAGTCGAACACCCAAACCACAAGGCTATCCAATATGGGTCTCAACGCTTTGTTCAACAGATACAATACATGATATAGCACAATCCCCGAATTGACTTCGGCTTTCGCTTTCGCTTTGAACGGTAACAACCAAATTCTCGCACACCGATGCAATCCTATGTTCCATCACTTCTCTATTTATGGGCCTAAGTAAAACCAAGGCATTCCCTTATGAACAATCCACACAGATTGCTCATACAATGCAATAGAGCAGTCGCAGAGTATATTTGTATAATATGATTCTCCATGCAGCTTGAACACTGAACTGACCACTGAAAATGATGGAAGCACTGTACAGCTGTTTGATCCGCTAAGTGAATCACGAGCACTGCACATGGATAGAGCCCACACGGGGACACGAACCAAATTTGGGGTGAACGAATGTCAGTCGAACACCCAAACCACAAGGCTATCCGATATCGGTCTGAACGCTTTGTTCAACAGATACACTACATCATATGGCACAATCCCCAAATTGGCTTCGGCTTTCGCTTTCGCTTTGAACGGTAACAACCAAATTCTCGCACACCGATCCAATCCTATGTTCCATCACTTCTCTATTTATGGGCCTAAGTAAAACCAAGGCATTCCCTTATGAACAATCCACACACAGATTGCTCATACAATGCAATAGAGCAGTAGCAGAGTAGATTTGTATAATATGAATCTCCATGCAGCTTGAACACTGAACTGACCATTGAAAATGATGGAAGCACTGAACAGCTTTTTGATCCGCTAAGGGAATCATGAGCATTGCACATGGACAGAGCCCACACGGGGACACGAACAAGGGTTGGGGTGAACGAATGTCAGTGGAACACCCAAACCACAAGGCTATCCGATATGGGTCTCGACGCTTTGTTCAAAAGATACACTACATCATATGGCACAATCCCCAAATTGGCTTCGGCTTTCGCTTTGGCTTTGAACGGTAACAACCAAATTCTCGCACACCGATCCAATCCTATGTTCCATCACTTCTCTATTTATGGGCCTATGTAAAACCAAGGCATTCCCTTATGAACAATCCACACAGATTGCTCATACAATGCAATAGAGCAGTAGCAGATTCGATTTGTATAATATGATTCTCCATGCAGCTTGAACACTGAACTGACCATTGAAAATGATGGAAGCACTGTACAGCTGTTTGATCCGCAAAGGGAATCATGAGCATTGCACATGGACAGAGCCCACACGGGGACACGAACAAGGGTTGAGGTGAACGAATGTCAGTCGAATACCCAAACCACAAGGCTATCCGATATGGGTCTCGACGCTTTGTTCAACAGATACACTACATCATATAGCTCAATCCCCAAATTGGCTTCGGCTTTCGCTTTGGTTTTCAACGGAAACAACCGAATTCTCGCACACCGATCCAATCCTATGTTCCATAACTTCTCTATTTATGGGCCTAAGTAAAACCAAGGCATTCCCTTATGTACAATCCACACAGATTGCTCATACAATGTATTAGAGCAGTAGCAGATTCGATTTGTATAATATGATTCTCCATGCAGCTTGAACACTGAACTGACCATTGAAAATGATGGAAGCACTGTACAGCGGTATGATCCGCTAAGGGAATCATGAGCATCGCACATGGACAGAGCCCTCACGGGGACACGAACAAGGGTTGGGGTGAACGATTGCCAGTCGAACACCCAAACCACAAGGCTATCCGATATCGGTCTCAACGCTTTGTTCAAAAGATACACTACATCATAAAGCACAATCCCCAAATTGGCTTCGGCTTTCGCTTTGGCTTTGAACGGTAACAACCAAATTCTCGCACACCGATCCAATCCTATGTTCCATCACTTCTCTATTTATGGGCCTATGTAAAACCAAGGCATTCCCTTATGAACAATCCACACAGATTGCTCATACAATGCAATAGAGCAGTAGCAGATTCGATTTGTATAATATGATTCTCCATGCAGCTTGAACACTGAACTGACCATTGAAAATGATGGAAGCACTGTACAGCTGTTTGATCCGCAAAGGGAATCATGAGCATTGCACATGGACAGAGCCCACACGGGGACACGAACAAGGGTTGAGGTGAACGAATGTCAGTCGAATACCCAAACCACAAGGCTATCCGATATGGGTCTCGACGCTTTGTTCAACATATACAATACATGATATAGCACAATCCCTAAATTGGCTTCGGCTTTCGCTTTGGCTTTGAACGGTAACAACCAAATTCTCGCACACCGATCCAATCCTATGTTCCATCACTTCTCTATTTATGGGCCTAAGTAAAACCAAGGCATTCCCTTATGAACAATCCACACAGACTGCTCATACAATGCAATAGAGCAGTCGCAGAGTATATTTGTATAATATGATTCTCCATGCAGCTTGAACACTGAACTGACCACTGAAAATGATGGAAGCACTGTACAGCTGTTTGATCCGCTAAGTGAATCACGAGCACTGCACATGGATAGAGCCCACACGGGGACACGAACCAAAGTTGGGGTGAACGAATGTCAGTCGAACACCCAAACCACAAGGCTATCCGATATCGGTCTGAACGCTTTGTTCAACAGATACACTACATCATATGGCACAATCCCCAAATTGGCTTCGGCTTTCGCTTTCGCTTTGAACGGTAACAACCAAATTCTCGCACACCGATCCAATCCTATGTTCCATCACTTCTCTATTTATGGGCCTAAGTAAAACCAAGGCATTCCCTTATGAACAATCCACACACAGATTGCTCATACAATGCAATAGAGCAGTAGCAGAGTAGATTTGTATAATATGAATCTCCATGCAGCTTGAACACTGAACTGACCATTGAAAATGATGGAAGCACTGAACAGCTTTTTGATCCGCTAAGGAAATCATGAGCATTGCACATGGACGGAGCCCACAAGGGGACGCGAACAAGGGTTGGGGTGAACGAATGTCAGTGGAACACCCAAACCACAAGGCTATCCGATATGGGTCTCGACGCTTTGTTCAAAAGATACACTACATCATATGGCACAATCCCCAAATTGGCTTCGGCTTTCGCTTTGGCTTTGAACGGTAACAACCAAATTCTCGCACACCGATCCAATCCTATGTTCCATCACTTCTCTATTTATGGGCCTATGTAAAACCAAGGCATTCCCTTATGAACAATCCACACAGATTGCTCATACAATGCAATAGAGCAGTAGCAGATTCGATTTGTATAATATGATTCTCCATGCAGCTTGAACACTGAACTGACCATTGAAAATGATGGAAGCACTGTACAGCTGTTTGATCCGCTAAGGGAATCATGAGCATTGCACATGGACAGAGCCCACACGGGGACACGAACAAGGGTTGAGGTGAACGAATGTCAGTCGAATACCCAAACCACAAGGCTATCCGATATGGGTCTCGACGCTTTGTTCAACAGATACACTACATCATATAGCTCAATCCCCAAATTGGCTTCGGCTTTCGCTTTGGTTTTCAACGGAAACAACCGAATTCTCGCACACCGATCCAATCCTATGTTCCATCACTTCTCTATTTATGGGCCTAAGTAAAACCAAGGCATTCCCTTATGTACAATCCACACAGATTGCTCATACAATGTAATAGAGCAGTAGCAGAGTAGATTTGTATAATATGATTCTCCATGCAGCTTGAACACTGAACTGACCATTGAAAATGATGGAAGCACTGTACAGCGGTATGATCCGCTAAGGGAATCATGAGCATCGCACATGGACAGAGCCCTCACGGGGACACGAACAAGGGTTGGGGTGAACGATTGCCAGTCGAACACCCAAACCACAAGGCTATCCAATATGGGTCTCAACGCTTTGTTCAACAGATACAATACATGATATAGCACAATCCCCGAATTGACTTCGGCTTTCGCTTTCGCTTTGAACGGTAACAACCAAATTCTCGCACACCGATGCAATCCTATGTTCCATCACTTCTCTATTTATGGGCCTAAGTAAAACCAAGGCATTCCCTTATGAACAATCCACACAGATTGCTCATACAATGCAATAGAGCAGTCGCAGAGTATATTTGTATAATATGATTCTCCATGCAGCTTGAACACTGAACTGACCACTGAAAATGATGGAAGCACTGTACAGCTGTTTGATCCGCTAAGTGAATCACGAGCACTGCACATGGATAGAGCCCACACGGGGACACGAACCAAATTTGGGGTGAACGAATGTCAGTCGAACACCCAAACCACAAGGCTATCCGATATCGGTCTGAACGCTTTGTTCAACAGATACACTACATCATATGGCACAATCCCCAAATTGGCTTCGGCTTTCGCTTTCGCTTTGAACGGTAACAACCAAATTCTCGCACACCGATCCAATCCTATGTTCCATCACTTCTCTATTTATGGGCCTAAGTAAAACCAAGGCATTCCCTTATGAACAATCCACACACAGATTGCTCATACAATGCAATAGAGCAGTAGCAGAGTAGATTTGTATAATATGAATCTCCATGCAGCTTGAACACTGAACTGACCATTGAAAATGATGGAAGCACTGAACAGCTTTTTGATCCGCTAAGGGAATCATGAGCATTGCACATGGACAGAGCCCACACGGGGACACGAACAAGGGTTGGGGTGAACGAATGTCAGTGGAACACCCAAACCACAAGGCTATCCGATATGGGTCTCGACGCTTTGTTCAAAAGATACACTACATCATATGGCACAATCCCCAAATTGGCTTCGGCTTTCGCTTTCGCTTTGAACGGTAACAACCAAATTCTCGCACACCGATCCAATCCTATGTTCCATCACTTCTCTATTTATGGGCCTATGTAAAACCAAGGCATTCCCTTATGAACAATCCACACAGATTGCTCATACAATGCAATAGAGCAGTAGCAGAGTAGATTTGTATAATATGATTCTCCATGCAGCTTGAACACTGAACTGACCATTGAAAATGATGGAAGCACTGTACAGCTGTTTGATCCGCTAAGGGAATCATGAGCATTGCACATGGACAGAGCCCACACGGGGACACGAACAAGGGTTGAGGTGAACGAATGTCAGTCGAATACCCAAACCACAAGGCTATCCGATATGGGTCTCGACGCTTTGTTCAACAGATACACTACATCATATAGCTCAATCCCCAAATTGGCTTCGGCTTTCGCTTTGGTTTTCAACGGAAACAACCGAATTCTCGCACACCGATCCAATCCTATGTTCCATAACTTCTCTATTTATGGGCCTAAGTAAAACCAAGGCATTCCCTTATGTACAATCCACACAGATTGCTCATACAATGTATTAGAGCAGTAGCAGATTCGATTTGTATAATATGATTCTCCATGCAGCTTGAACACTGAACTGACCATTGAAAATGATGGAAGCACTGTACAGCGGTATGATCCGCTAAGGGAATCATGAGCATCGCACATGGACAGAGCCCTCACGGGGACACGAACAAGGGTTGGGGTGAACGATTGCCAGTCGAACACCCAAACCACAAGGCTATCCGATATCGGTCTCAACGCTTTGTTCAAAAGATACACTACATCATATGGCACAATCCCCAAATTGGCTTCGGCTTTCGCTTTGGCTTTGAACGGTAACAACCAAATTCTCGCACACCGATCCAATCCTATGTTCCATCACTTCTCTATTTATGGGCCTATGTAAAACCAAGGCATTCCCTTATGAACAATCCACACAGATTGCTCATACAATGCAATAGAGCAGTAGCAGATTCGATTTGTATAATATGATTCTCCATGCAGCTTGAACACTGAACTGACCATTGAAAATGATGGAAGCACTGTACAGCTGTTTGATCCGCAAAGGGAATCATGAGCATTGCACATGGACAGAGCCCACACGGGGACACGAACAAGGGTTGAGGTGAACGAATGTCAGTCGAATACCCAAACCACAAGGCTATCCGATATGGGTCTCGACGCTTTGTTCAACATATACAATACATGATATAGCACAATCCCTAAATTGGCTTCGGCTTTCGCTTTGGCTTTGAACGGTAACAACCAAATTCTCGCACACCGATCCAATCCTATGTTCCATCACTTCTCTATTTATGGGCCTAAGTAAAACCAAGGCATTCCCTTATGAACAATCCACACAGACTGCTCATACAATGCAATAGAGCAGTCGCAGAGTATATTTGTATAATATGATTCTCCATGCAGCTTGAACACTGAACTGACCACTGAAAATGATGGAAGCACTGTACAGCTGTTTGATCCGCTAAGTGAATCACGAGCACTGCACATGGATAGAGCCCACACGGGGACACGAACCAAAGTTGGGGTGAACGAATGTCAGTCGAACACCCAAACCACAAGGCTATCCGATATCGGTCTGAACGCTTTGTTCAACAGATACACTACATCATATGGCACAATCCCCAAATTGGCTTCGGCTTTCGCTTTCGCTTTGAACGGTAACAACCAAATTCTCGCACACCGATACAATCCTATGTTCCATCACTTCTCTATTTATGGGCCTAAGTAAAACCAAGGCATTCCCTTATGAACAATCCACACAGACTGCTCATACAATGCAATAGAGCAGTCGCAGAGTATATTTGTATAATATGATTCTCCATGCAGCTTGAACACTGAACTGACCACTGAAAATGATGGAAGCACTGTACAGCTGTTTGATCCGCTAAGTGAATCACGAGCACTGCACATGGATAGAGCCCACACGGGGACACGAACCAAAGTTGGGGTGAACGAATGTCAGTCGAACACCCAAACCACAAGGCTATCCGATATCGGTCTGAACGCTTTGTTCAACAGATACACTACATCATATGGCACAATCCCCAAATTGGCTTCGGCTTTCGCTTTCGCTTTGAACGGTAACAACCAAATTCTCGCACACCGATCCAATCCTATGTTCCATCACTTCTCTATTTATGGGCCTAAGTAAAACCAAGGCATTCCCTTATGAACAATCCACACACAGATTGCTCATACAATGCAATAGAGCAGTAGCAGAGTAGATTTGTATAATATGATTCTCCATGCAGCTTGAACACTGAACTGACCATTGAAAATGATGGAAGCACTGAACAGCTTTTTGATCCGCTAAGGGAATCATGAGCATTGCACATGGACAGAGCCCACACGGGGACACGAACAAGGGTTGGGGTGAACGAATGTCAGTGGAACACCCAAACCACAAGGCTATCCGATATGGGTCTCGACGCTTTGTTCAAAAGATACACTACATCATATGGCACAATCCCCAAATTGGCTTCGGCTTTCGCTTTGGCTTTGAACGGTAACAACCAAATTCTCGCACACCGATCCAATCCTATGTTCCATCACTTCTCTATTTATGGGCCTATGTAAAACCAAGGCATTCCCTTATGAACAATCCACACAGATTGCTCATACAATGCAATAGAGCAGTAGCAGATTCGATTTGTATAATATGATTCTCCATGCAGCTTGAACACTGAACTGACCATTGAAAATGATGGAAGCACTGTACAGCTGTTTGATCCGCAAAGGGAATCATGAGCATTGCACATGGACAGAGCCCTCACGGGGACACGAACAAGGGTTGGGGTGAACGATTGCCAGTCGAACACCCAAACCACAAGGCTATCCGATATAGGTCTCAACGCTTTGTTCAACATATACAATACATGATATAGCACAATCCCCAAATTGGCTTCGGCTTTCGCTTTCGCTTTGAACGGTAACAACCAAATTCTCGCACACCGATACAATCCTATGTTCCATCACTTCTCTATTTATGGGCCTAAGTAAAACCAAGGCATTCCCTTATGAACAATCCACACAGACTGCTCATACAATGCAATAGAGCAGTCGCAGAGTATATTTGTATAATATGATTCTCCATGCAGCTTGAACACTGAACTGACCACTGAAAATGATGGAAGCACTGTACAGCTGTTTGATCCGCTAAGTGAATCACGAGCACTGCACATGGATAGAGCCCACACGGGGACACGAACCAAAGTTGGGGTGAACGAATGTCAGTCGAACACCCAAACCACAAGGCTATCCGATATCGGTCTGAACGCTTTGTTCAACAGATACACTACATCATATGGCACAATCCCCAAATTGGCTTCGGCTTTCGCTTTCGCTTTGAACGGTAACAACCAAATTCTCGCACACCGATCCAATCCTATGTTCCATCACTTCTCTATTTATGGGCCTAAGTAAAACCAAGGCATTCCCTTATGAACAATCCACACACAGATTGCTCATACAATGCAATAGAGCAGTAGCAGAGTAGATTTGTATAATATGATTCTCCATGCAGCTTGAACACTGAACTGACCATTGAAAATGATGGAAGCACTGAACAGCTTTTTGATCCGCTAAGGGAATCATGAGCATTGCACATGGACAGAGCCCACACGGGGACACGAACAAGGGTTGGGGTGAACGAATGTCAGTGGAACACCCAAACCACAAGGCTATCCGATATGGGTCTCGACGCTTTGTTCAAAAGATACACTACATCATATGGCACAATCCCCAAATTGGCTTCGGCTTTCGCTTTGGCTTTGAACGGTAACAACCAAATTCTCGCACACCGATCCAATCCTATGTTCCATCACTTCTCTATTTATGGGCCTAAGTAAAACCAAGGCATTCCCTTATGAACAATCCACACAGATTGCTCATACAATGCAATAGAGCAGTAGCAGATTCGATTTGTATAATATGATTCTCCATGCAGCTTGAACACTGAACTGACCATTGAAAATGATGGAAGCACTGTACAGCTGTTTGATCCGCAAAGGGAATCATGAGCATTGCACATGGACAGAGCCCTCACGGGGACACGAACAAGGGTTGGGGTGAACGATTGCCAGTCGAACACCCAAACCACAAGGCTATCCGATATAGGTCTCAACGCTTTGTTCAACATATACAATACATGATATAGCACAATCCCCAAATTGGCTTCGGCTTTCGCTTTCGCTTTGAACGGTAACAACCAAATTCTCGCACACCGATACAATCCTATGTTCCATCACTTCTCTATTTATGGGCCTAAGTAAAACCAAGGCATTCCCTTATGAACAATCCCCACACAGATTGCTCATACAATGCAATAGAGCAGTCGCAGAGTATATTTGTATAATATGATTCTCCATGCAGCTTGAACACTGAACTGACCACTGAAAATGATGGAAGCACTGTACAGCTGTTTGATCCGCTAAGTGAATCACGAGCACTGCACATGGATAGAGCCCACACGGGGACACGAACCAAAGTTGGGGTGAACGAATGTCAGTCGAACACCCAAACCACAAGGCTATCCGATATCGGTCTGAACGCTTTGTTCAACAGATACACTACATCATATGGCACAATCCCCAAATTGGCTTCGGCTTTCGCTTTCGCTTTGAACGGTAACAACCAAATTCTCGCACACCGATCCAATCCTATGTTCCATCACTTCTCTATTTATGGGCCTATGTAAAACCAAGGCATTCCCTTATGAACAATCCACACAGATTGCTCATACAATGCAATAGAGCAGTAGCAGAGTAGATTTGTATAATATGATTCTCCATGCAGCTTGAACACTGAACTGACCATTGAAAATGATGGAAGCACTGTACAGCTGTTTGATCCGCTAAGGGAATCATGAGCATTGCACATGGACAGAGCCCACACGGGGACACGAACAAGGGTTGAGGTGAACGAATGTCAGTCGAATACCCAAACCACAAGGCTATCCGATATGGGTCTCGACGCTTTGTTCAACAGATACACTACATCATATAGCTCAATCCCCAAATTGGCTTCGGCTTTCGCTTTGGTTTTCAACGGAAACAACCGAATTCTCGCACACCGATCCAATCCTATGTTCCATCACTTCTCTATTTATGGGCCTAAGTAAAACCAAGGCATTCCCTTATGTACAATCCACACAGATTGCTCATACAATGTAATAGAGCAGTAGCAGAGTAGATTTGTATAATATGATTCTCCATGCAGCTTGAACACTGAACTGACCATTGAAAATGATGGAAGCACTGTACAGCGGTATGATCCGCTAAGGGAATCATGAGCATCGCACATGGACAGAGCCCTCACGGGGACACGAACAAGGGTTGGGGTGAACGGATGTCAGTCGAACACCCAAACCACAAGGATATCCGTTATTGGTGTGAACGCTTTGTTCAACAGAAACACTAAATTATATAGCTAAATCCCCAAATTGGCTTCGGCTTTCGCTTTCGCTTTGAACGGTAACAACCAAATTCTCGCACACCGATCCAATCGTATGTTCCATCACTTCTCTATTTATGGCCTAAGTAAAACCAAGGCATTCCCTTATGAACAATCCCCACACAGATTGCTCATACAATGCAATAGATCAGTAGCAGAGTAGATTTGTATAATATGATTCTCCATGCAGCTTGAACACTGAACTGACCATTGAAAATGATGGAAGCACTGAACAGCTTTTTGATCCGCTAAGGGAATCATGAGCATTGCACATGGACAGAGCCCACACGGGGACACGAACAAGGGTTGGGGTGAACGAATGTCAGTGGAACACCCAAACCACAAGGCTATCCGATATGGGTCTCGACGCTTTGTTCAAAAGATACACTACATCATATGGCACAATCCCCAAATTGGCTTCGGCTTTCGCTTTGGCTTTGAACGGTAACAACCAAATTCTCGCACACCGATCCAATCCTATGTTCCATCACTTCTCTATTTATGGGCCTATGTAAAACCAAGGCATTCCCTTATGAACAATCCACACAGATTGCTCATACAATGCAATAGAGCAGTAGCAGATTCGATTTGTATAATATGATTCTCCATGCAGCTTGAACACTGAACTGACCATTGAAAATGATGGAAGCACTGTACAGCTGTTTGATCCGCAAAGGGAATCATGAGCATTGCACATGGACAGAGCCCTCACGGGGACACGAACAAGGGTTGGGGTGAACGATTGCCAGTCGAACACCCAAACCACAAGGCTATCCGATATCGGTCTCAACGCTTTGTTCAACATATACAATACATGATATAGCACAATCCCTAAATTGGCTTCGGCTTTCGCTTTCGCTTTGAACGGTAACAACCAAATTCTCGCACACCGATACAATCCTATGTTCCATCACTTCTCTATTTATGGGCCTAAGTAAAACCAAGGCATTCCCTTATGAACAATCCACACAGACTGCTCATACAATGCAATAGAGCAGTCGCAGAGTATATTTGTATAATATGATTCTCCATGCAGCTTGAACACTGAACTGACCACTGAAAATGATGGAAGCACTGTACAGCTGTTTGATCCGCTAAGTGAATCACGAGCACTGCACATGGATAGAGCCCACACGGGGACACGAACCAAAGTTGGGGTGAACGAATGTCAGTCGAACACCCAAACCACAAGGCTATCCGATATCGGTCTGAACGCTTTGTTCAACAGATACACTACATCATATGGCACAATCCCCAAATTGGCTTCGGCTTTCGCTTTCGCTTTGAACGGTAACAACCAAATTCTCGCACACCGATCCAATCCTATGTTCCATCACTTCTCTATTTATGGGCCTATGTAAAACCAAGGCATTCCCTTATGAACAATCCACACAGATTGCTCATACAATGCAATAGAGCAGTAGCAGATTCGATTTGTATAATATGATTCTCCATGCAGCTTGAACACTGAACTGACCATTGAAAATGATGGAAGCACTGTACAGCTGTTTGATCCGCAAAGGGAATCATGAGCATTGCACATGGACAGAGCCCTCACGGGGACACGAACAAGGGTTGGGGTGAACGATTGCCAGTCGAACACCCAAACCACAAGGCTATCCGATATCGGTCTCAACGCTTTGTTCAACATATACAATACATGATATAGCACAATCCCTAAATTGGCTTCGGCTTTCGCTTTCGCTTTGAACGGTAACAACCAAATTCTCGCACACCGATACAATCCTATGTTCCATCACTTCTCTATTTATGGGCCTAAGTAAAACCAAGGCATTCCCTTATGAACAATCCCCACACAGATTGCTCATACAATGCAATAGAGCAGTCGCAGAGTATATTTGTATAATATGATTCTCCATGCAGCTTGAACACTGAACTGACCACTGAAAATGATGGAAGCACTGTACAGCTGTTTGATCCGCTAAGTGAATCACGAGCACTGCACATGGATAGAGCCCACACGGGGACACGAACCAAAGTTGGGGTGAACGAATGTCAGTCGAACACCCAAACCACAAGGCTATCCGATATCGGTCTGAACGCTTTGTTCAACAGATACACTACATCATATGGCACAATCCCCAAATTGGCTTCGGCTTTCGCTTTCGCTTTGAACGGTAACAACCAAATTCTCGCACACCGATCCAATCCTATGTTCCATCACTTCTCTATTTATGGGCCTATGTAAAACCAAGGCATTCCCTTATGAACAATCCACACAGATTGCTCATACAATGCAATAGAGCAGTAGCAGAGTAGATTTGTATAATATGATTCTCCATGCAGCTTGAACACTGAACTGACCATTGAAAATGATGGAAGCACTGTACAGCTGTTTGATCCGCTAAGGGAATCATGAGCATTGCACATGGACAGAGCCCACACGGGGACACGAACAAGGGTTGAGGTGAACGAATGTCAGTCGAATACCCAAACCACAAGGCTATCCGATATGGGTCTCGACGCTTTGTTCAACAGATACACTACATCATATAGCTCAATCCCCAAATTGGCTTCGGCTTTCGCTTTGGTTTTCAACGGAAACAACCGAATTCTCGCACACCGATCCAATCCTATGTTCCATCACTTCTCTATTTATGGGCCTAAGTAAAACCAAGGCATTCCCTTATGTACAATCCACACAGATTGCTCATACAATGTAATAGAGCAGTAGCAGAGTAGATTTGTATAATATGATTCTCCATGCAGCTTGAACACTGAACTGACCATTGAAAATGATGGAAGCACTGTACAGCGGTATGATCCGCTAAGGGAATCATGAGCATCGCACATGGACAGAGCCCTCACGGGGACACGAACAAGGGTTGGGGTGAACGGATGTCAGTCGAACACCCAAACCACAAGGATATCCGTTATTGGTGTGAACGCTTTGTTCAACAGAAACACTAAATTATATAGCTAAATCCCCAAATTGGCTTCGGCTTTCGCTTTCGCTTTGAACGGTAACAACCAAATTCTCGCACACCGATCCAATCGTATGTTCCATCACTTCTCTATTTATGGCCTAAGTAAAACCAAGGCATTCCCTTATGAACAATCCCCACACAGATTGCTCATACAATGCAATAGATCAGTAGCAGAGTAGATTTGTATAATATGATTCTCCATGCAGCTTGAACACTGAACTGACCATTGAAAATTATGGAAGCACTGTACAGCTATTTGATCCGCTAAGGGAATCATGTGCATTGCATATGGACGGAGCCCACACGGGGACACGAACAAGGTTTGGGGTGTACGACTGTCAATCGCACACCCAAACCACAAGGCTATCCGATATTTGTGTGAACGCTTCGTTCAACATATACAATACATGATATAGCACAATCCCCAAATTGGCTTCGGCTTTCGCTTTGGTTTTCAACGGAAACAACCGAATTCTCGCACACCGATCCAATGCTATGTTCCATCACTTCTCTATTTATGGGCCTAAGTAAAACCAAGGCATTCCCTTATGTACAATCCACACAGATTGCTCATACAATGTAATAGAGCAGTAGCAGAGTAGATTTGTATAATATGATTCTCCATGCAGCTTGAACACTGAACTGACCATTGAAAATGATGGAAGCACTGTACAGCGGTATGATCCGCTAAGGGAATCATGAGCATCGCACATGGACAGAGCCCTCACGGGGACACGAACAAGGGTTGGGGTGAACGGATGTCAGTCGAACACCCAAACCACAAGGATATCCGATATTGGTGTGAACGCTTTGTTCAACAGAAACACTAAATTATATAGCTAAATCCCCAAATTGGCTTCGGCTTTCGCTTTCGCTTTGAACGGTAACAACCAAATTCTCGCACACCGATCCAATCGTATGTTCCATCACTTCTCTATTTATGGCCTAAGTAAAACCAAGGCATTCCCTTATGAACAATCCCCACACAGATTGCTCATACAATGCAATAGATCAGTAGCAGAGTAGATTTGTATAATATGATTCTCCATGCAGCTTGAACACTGAACTGACCATTGAAAATGATGGAAGCACTGTACAGCGGTATGATCCGCTAAGGGAATCATGAGCATTGCACATGGACAGAGCCCACACGGGGACACGAACAAGGGTTGGGGTGAACGAATGTCAGTGGAACACCCAAACCACAAGGCTATCCGATATGGGTCTCGACGCTTTGTTCAAAAGATACACTACATCATATGGCACAATCCCCAAATTGGCTTCGGCTTTCGCTTTGGCTTTGAACGGTAACAACCAAATTCTCGCACACCGATCCAATCCTATGTTCCATCACTTCTCTATTTATGGGCCTATGTAAAACCAAGGCATTCCCTTATGAACAATCCACACAGATTGCTCATACAATGCAATAGAGCAGTAGCAGATTCGATTTGTATAATATGATTCTCCATGCAGCTTGAACACTGAACTGACCATTGAAAATGATGGAAGCACTGTACATCTGTTTGATCCGCTAAGGGAATCATGAGCATTGCACATGGACAGAGCCCTCACGGGGACACGAACAAGGGTTGGGGTGAACGATTGCCAGTCGAACACCCAAACCACAAGGCTATCCGATATCGGTCTCAACGCTTTGTTCAACATATACAATACATGATATAGCACAATCCCTAAATTGGCTTCGGCTTTCGCTTTCGCTTTGAACGGTAACAACCAAATTCTCGCACACCGATACAATCCTATGTTCCATCACTTCTCTATTTATGGGCCTAAGTAAAACCAAGGCATTCCCTTATGAACAATCCCCACACAGATTGCTCATACAATGCAATAGAGCAGTAGCAGAGTAGATTTGTATAATATGATTCTCCATGCAGCTTGAACACTGAACTGACCATTGCAAATGATGGAAGCACTGTACAGCTGTTTGATCCGCTAAGTGAATCACGAGCACTGCACATGGATAGAGCCCACACGGGGACACGAACCAAAGTTGGGGTGAACGAATGTCAGTCGAACACCCAAACCACAAGGCTATCCGATATCGGTCTGAACGCTTTGTTCAACAGATACACTACATCATATGGCACAATCCCCAAATTGGCTTCGGCTTTCGCTTTCGCTTTGAACGGTAACAACCAAATTCTCGCACACCGATCCAATCCTATGTTCCATCACTTCTCTATTTATGGGCCTAAGTAAAACCAAGGCATTCCCTTATGAACAATCCACACACAGATTGCTCATACAATGCAATAGAGCAGTAGCAGAGTAGATTTGTATAATATGAATCTCCATGCAGCTTGAACACTGAACTGACCATTGAAAATGATGGAAGCACTGAACAGCTTTTTGATCCGCTAAGGAAATCATGAGCATTGCACATGGACAGAGCCTACACGGGGACACGAACAAGGGTTGGGGTGAACGAATGTCAGTGGAACACCCAAACCACAAGGCTATCCGATATGGGTCTCGACGCTTTGTTCAAAAGATACACTACATCATATGGCACAATCCCCAAATTGGCTTCGGCTTTCGCTTTGGCTTTGAATGGTAACAACCAAATTCTCGCACACCGATCCAATCCTATGTTCCATCACTTCTCTATTTATGGGCCTATGTAAAACCAAGGCATTCCCTTATGAACAATCCACACAGATTGCTCATACAATGCAATAGAGCAGTAGCAGAGTAGATTTGTATAATATGATTCTCCATGCAGCTTGAACACTGAACTGACCATTGAAAATGATGGAAGCACTGTACAGCTGTTTGATCCGCTAAGGGAATCATGAGCATTGCACATGGACAGAGCCCACACGGGGACACGAACAAGGGTTGAGGTGAACGAATGTCAGTCGAATACCCAAACCACAAGGCTATCCGATATGGGTCTCGACGCTTTGTTCAACAGATACACTACATCATATAGCTCAATCCCCAAATTGGCTTCGGCTTTCGCTTTGGTTTTCAACGGAAACAACCGAATTCTCGCACACCGATCCAATCCTATGTTCCATCACTTCTCTATTTATGGGCCTAAGTAAAACAAAGGCATTCCCTTATGTACAATCCACACAGATTGCTCATACAATGTAATAGAGCAGTAGCAGAGTAGATTTGTATAATATGATTCTCCATGCAGCTTGAACACTGAACTGACCATTGAAAATGATGGAAGCACTGTACAGCGGTATGATCCGCTAAGGGAATCATGAGCATCGCACATGGACAGAGCCCTCACGGGGACACGAACAAGGGTTGGGGTGAACGGATGTCAGTCGAACACCCAAACCACAAGGATATCCGATATTGGTGTGAACGCTTTGTTCAACAGAAACACTAAATTATATAGCTAAATCCCCAAATTGGCTTCGGCTTTCGCTTTCGCTTTGAACGGTAACAACCAAATTCTCGCACACCGATCCAATCCTATGTTCCATCACTTCTCTATTTATGGGCCTATGTAAAACCAAGGCATTCCCTTATGAACAATCCCCACACAGATTGCTCATACAATGCAATAGATCAGTAGCAGAGTAGATTTGTATAATATGATTCTCCATGCAGCTTGAACACTGAACTGACCATTGAAAATTATGGAAGCACTGTACAGCTATTTGATCCGCTAAGAGAATCATGTGCATTGCATATGGACGGAGCCCACACGGGGACACGAACAAGGTTTGGGGTGTACGACTGTCAATCGCACACCCAAACCACAAGGCTATCCGATATTTGTGTGAACGCTTCGTTCAACATATACAATACATGATATAGCACAATCCCCAAATTGGCTTCGGCTTTCGCTTTGGTTTTCAACGGAAACAACCGAATTCTCGCACACCGATCCAATGCTATGTTCCATCACTTCTCTATTTATGGGCCTAAGTAAAACCAAGGCATTCCCTCATGAACAATCCACACAGATTGCTCATACAATGCAATAGAGCAGTAGCAGAGTAGATTTGTATAATATGATTCTCCATGCAGCTTGAATACTGAACAGACCATTGAAAATGATGGAAGCACTGTACAGCTGTTTGATCCGCTAAGGGAATCATGTGCATTGCACATGGACAGAGCCCACACGGGGACACGAACAAGGTTTGGGGTGAACGATTGTCAGTCGAACACCCAAACCACAAGGCTATCCAATATGGGTCTCAACGCTTTGTTCAACAGATACAATACATGATATAGCACAATCCCCGAATTGACTTCGGCTTTCGCT